TAGTTATAGTTTATTAATTATGACTAAAAATATAAAAAATGTACCACTTTTGATTCCAAACAAAACAAACACAAAGTTCAATTTAGCAAAGTGTAGTTTTAAATGCGATTTTGTGATAAAACTAAAAATCGTACAAAATTTTTGTATAAACAAATTTTATAGATAATTTCATCAGCTATAAAGTTGTAGAATATTTTATTTGGAAATAATGTTTGGTATGCTGTAAATAATAGTTTGGTAATTATGAAGCCAAGTGTAAAAAAATGTAACCAGAGCATCAAAATTGTTTATAAAATCATTTTGTATAATAAACTAATTTCTAGTGGTTGTAAGGTCATATATATATATATATATATATATATATATATATATATTTATAAGAGACCCTCAGGGTTAGACTAAATACAGGGTTGAACTGTTAAAACAAGTCGTAAAATATTATACAAGTCTAGATTTTTATGGTCGTCGGATTTTATGTTTGGTTTTTGCTTATACATATACACATATGTATATATATTTTTTATATTTATGAATGTATTTATGTATATATGTATAATTTAGGCTGAAAAAACAAACAGACTTTTGCATGGTCGTTAATATTTTTATGAGTTTTTAAAAAATCAGCACGTAAATTTATGCCGCACTTAAAATATTATATACATTATGATATTCTTAAACATTTACGAATATATATATATATATATATATATATATAAATATATATATATATATATATATAAATATATATATATATATATATAAATATATTCAATAGATAAGTCCTGGATTTTTTCAATATATTGATTGTTTCTTTTCCAAAGTACTCTTGTTCAGCATTCCATCGAAAACTCACATAATTTCACCTTTGAACCCAATATTTTATATAGAGAGGATTGTACTTTTAAAAGACTTTTTTCTGAAAGCAGTTTAATCTTTTTGAATTCGTCAAAAAGTGTTAATAAAAGATCAGATCACAATATCATTCATGACTCATATTTAAATTTTTTAAACCTGATTAAAAATAATTAATCCTAATAGTTTTTGAATATGTGTATATATATACATGTATATATGTTATAATATATGTACATCCATATATATGCTTATATGTATGTTTTTTGGGTATACACTATACACATACACTTGCATATGTGTTCATGTGTATAATTGTGGATACATTAATATATAGATATGTGCATATGTATGTATGAGTATGTAGGTGTGCATATACATGTTCATGTATGTATGTATATATATATATATATATACATAATATTTCTCAACATTTACTAAAGCAATATTTTTCCTTTTTTCGTAAATTACCAAACAAGAGCCATAAAAAATCATTTTTGCCAAGAGTTCCGTGCTTTGTCCTTTACATCTGGCAGACAGAAATCCATATCAGTGTGTTTAAGTCTTGTGTAGTCGTAACATCTACAAATATCTTCCAAAAAAATCGAGTGTTTTTAACAAAAAAAAAAAAAAATATTAGTGATATGGATATATAAATTATTACAGGTAAATAATTTTCGCTTCTCAATTTTATATAAAACCTTTTTTAGTTAAGTCTTATTACTATCTATCCGGTACATAATCCATTCCTTTATAACAAAATTTTTTTCTAATTAATCTGTATTGACCATTGTTAATTAATGTTAATCAGTATTTTAAAAAACATTGTATTTGACAGAATAAACCTGATGATGGAACGTACCTAGTTCCGAAACGTCGTATTAAACATCTTCAAAAAACAAATTGTTTTTTATTATTGGATTTACTGTTCGGAAAAGAAACAATCAATATAAATATATATATATATATATATATAAATATATATATATATATATATATATATATAACAATTTATATCTATAGTTTCTGCTGAATTATAAAAATTAACCTGTTTAACTAAAATCAAAAGTTTAAGCACAAAATTCGAAGTTACATTTTTCTACATTTTGCCTTACAAGAAATAATTGATTTTAACTAATTACAATGTTTTGCAAAATTATAGTTGATAAAATTCTCTATATAGTGTATATATTCAAAATATTTACACTAATAGTACTTTTATTAGAAAATGGTACTGTAAAATCTATTATACTAAAGTCTGCGCACAGTTGGATAACGATATTTTTTCATATATCATAGTGAGATAAGTATTATTATGAGCTTATTTTTGTATATGGGAAATTTGTAGATGATAAAATTATCTACAAAGTTTGTTCATACAAAAAATTTGTGCGAATTTTAGTTTTATTGTAAAATCGCGTTTAAAAATCAACTTTGCTGAGTTAAACCTGTGATAGTTATGTGAGTACAATTTGGCTCAATTTTTTTCTGTATAGAATTGTATAGAATTATGTTATAAGACAAATTTGTGCAAAATTTTATAATCTAACACAGTATTAAGCCACAATTAATATTTTTCCAGTAGCGACTCGAAATCCAAAAAAACGCATCAACTTTTCCATGTAATCAGTAGTACGACTCTTCGTGTTTCATTTGAACTAAATTTTAATGCATTTGCAATGAATGAATGAGTTTCATTCGAAGTAATTTTTAAAGCATGTGTGATTATTGTATAAAATTATGTTGTAAGACAAATTTGTGCAAAATTTTGTAAGCTTTAAATTACCTTAACACAGTATTAAGCTACAATTGATATTTTTCCAGTTACGACAGAAAATTCAAAGAAAACCATCAACTTTTCCATATGTGCTGTAACAAGTCTCATCATGTTTCATTTGAACTAAATTTTGATGCATTTGTTTTAATTGTATAAAAATATGTTGTAAGACAAATTTGTGCAAAATTTTGGTTTCTTTAAATTACCTTAACACAGTATTAAGCTACAATTGATATTTTTCCAGTTACGACTGAAAATTCAGGAAAGGACATCACCTTTCCATGCGATCAATATATAGGTTAATCGTCAATTTGCAATAATTGTATAAGGTTATGTTATAAGACAATTTTGTGCAAAATTTTATAATCTTTAAATAACCTTTATACAGTATTAATCTACAATTGATATTTTTCCACTTACAACTAAAAATCCAAAAAAAAACATCAACTTTTCCATGTGATCAATAATACTCGTCTCATCGTGTTTCTTAGAACAATTTCTTCGATCCATTGATAAAACTTTTGAAAAATAAAAGCAAACGTTATGTTTTTGGTGGCTGTCATCATCAGTCATAGATTAGAGATCTTTTGTTTAGTGCTTCCATTCGTTATTATTTTTTTTATCATTTTTTTTTATTAAAATGAAAGAGTAACAACCACACATCTACAAAATCGATGAACGATCAATCAAAATCGATCGATTGAAATCGATAGTTTGTGATTTCTAGATCAGATATGGAAAATGTATAATATATATATATATATATATATATATATATATATATATATGTGTGTGTGTGTGTGTATAAATTAAAGTTTATAAATTTTCCTACAATTTGTTCTTATAACACTTTTTTCTGCAGGTGTTTCAACAGTCCTCCCGTTTTACATTATTGTTATCAAGGACTTTTTTTATATTTTTGTTTATAACTTAAAAATTATAAGTTGCATATATTTATAGTATAGGAATAAACTGAAGTCTATAAAATTCTCTATAATTTGTTCATATAAAAAATTTTTGCACGAATAATATTTATACTTTAAAAATGTTAACGAATATAAACGTTCAAAATTGTTTATAAGTGTTATTCTTATCGTGGACATTTTTTGCTATTTTTGTTTATAACTTAAAAACTATGAATATATGAATTAAAGTTTATAAAATTCTCTATAATTCGTTCGTATAATATATTTTTGTATAAATAATATTTATGCTTTAAAAATGTACACGAATATAAAGGTTCAAGATTGATTATAAATGTAATTCTTAACAGAGGCATTTTTTGCTAGTTTTGTTTATAAATAAAAAATTCTAAATTGCATAGATGTACTTATAGTATATGGATAAATTAAAGTTAATAAAATTCTCTATAATTTTTTCATATAACATATTTTTGTATAAATAATATTTATACTTCAAAATTGTGCACGAATATAAAAGTTCCAGAATGCTTAGAAATGCTACTCTTCGCACGAACATTTTTTGCTAGTTTTGTTTATAACTTAAATGTTTATAACGTAAAAAATTGCAAATTATTGATAGATAAATTAAAGCTTATAAAATTCTCTATAATTTGTTCATATAACATATTTGTGTATAAAGAATATTTATGGTTTAAAATTGCACGCGAATATAATAGTTTGAAAATTCTTCAAGACATTTTTTGTAATTTTTGTTTATAACTTAAAAATTAAAAAAATTAGCTTTACATAGTTGTAGGCATAGATAAAATAAGATTGTAGGATATTTCAAAGACCATAGAGTTTTCTACAACTTGTTCTAATAACATTTTTTGTATGGTAAATATTAATATTTTAAAAACAATTGAAAAAAAGGTATGCTTAATCTTAGCATTTTATTTCACCATGGATAATTATTTATAATTAAATAACTTATAAAAAGAAAAATAATATTTATGCTAAAACTCTATTGAAAAAAAAACGATTCTTTGTTAATATTTTGTTCAAAACAAAAGTACACTTGTAGTTTAAGAAAATAAAAAATATTATGAACAAATATTTTATAAGTTAAAATTCAGTATTTAAGTAATATTATTTCGTGTGTACTTTGTAATTCATTTAACAACCGCAAATAATTATAAAAAATCAATGATTTATTGCTACTTAATCTTTTAATATTCAAATTTACCGCCAATTTAAATTACCCGCCAAATCAAATCTTAATTTCAAAATTTGAATTACCCGTCAAGATTTTAAATGAAATCTCAATTTCAAAATTTGAATTACCCGCCAACTTCACTCCGCTTTCGACAACAAGATGGCGCAACAGTTCCTTCATCAAACGTCAAAACAATGAAACACATTTCAAATTAAATCTTTTATAAACAAAAACCATATAGATTAAAGAAATATGTGTTAAATAAACAAAATTGTATAAGAATTAATTCAATGACTAATATGTAAAGCTATTTATAACACAAAGAGAATTTAAATGAGTTTGTGGAATATATTTTGAACAATTGAAATGTTCTAACCTAACCTATATTGACAGAGCTTTTGAGGTGTAGACTAATTATTAATTGTAAGTATAATTATTAATAATTGTTATTAGTTAAAGAGTTATTAGTTATTAATCAGCAGGTGAGATAAATTTTTGTATTTCATATATATGTATAAATATGTGTTAGGTACAAATTTATATGTAAAATGCTTATGGGGTTTCTATTTATTTTTCAAGACTCTTATTTTAATATGTCAATGCTACTTATAAGTATATTTAAGTACTCTAGTATTGTTATTTAAGTACTTATTTTTGAAGGTGTCAACTATTTAACATGCCATTTGTATTTAACAAGTATTATATTAGTAGTAACGTATAAACAGATTTCATTAAAATGGTTTTCTCGTTATAAAGAATCTTTTTCAAGTATATTGTCCCATTTTTAGAGTCTCCTAATACTAAAGATATTGTATTATTATACTTTTTGGGTGCTTCATTTATATTATCTAGTTATAAAGAACCTTTTTGAAGTAGAGTGTTTCATTTCAGAATCTCCTAATATTAAAGATATTGTATTAATATACTTTCTAGGTGCTTCATTTATATTATCTAGTTATAAAGAACCTTTTTCAAGTAGAGCGTTTCATTTCAGAATCTCCAAATATTAAATATATTGTATTAATATACTTGCTGGGTGCTTCATTTATATTATCTAGTTATAAAGAATCTTTTTGAAGTAGAGTGTTTATTTTAAGACTCTTCTAACACTAAAGATATTATATTAATTCACTTGCTGAGTGCTTTGTTTATATTACTTCAATTTCATTTATTATTCTTTTTTCTAGGTTGTATAATTCTCTTCATATTTTCATCAAAATGTCAGAAAAACACCAAGAACCAAATTTAGCAAAAGAAGCTGTTCTTGTGGACAGCTGCAAAATGCCTGAAGGCACACCTATAGTTTCAGGCTATGATTTTAATTCTGGTGTCAATTATGAGGCTATGTTTAAGACTTATGTGCATTCAGGATTCCAAGCCACAAATTTGGGTTTGGCCATTGAAGAAATAAACAAAATGGTAAAAGAAATATAATATACTAAAATATAATATACTTATATAATTTTTAATTATTTTAGTTGGTTTGCCGAGATGAACCACTAGATGTAAGAGATCTGGATACATATGAAGAAGATGAATTTATTAAACGCAAAAATAATTGCACAATATTTCTAGGGTATACTTCAAATATTGTTTCGTCCGGCTTGCGGGATACTATTAGGTTTTTAGTGCAACATAAATTGGTACGTAGACAAATACATAAATACATACATAATGTATTTATTATATATATATATATATATATATATATATATATATATATAAAATTAATGTAAAGTAAACTAGGACTTACCAAGTGAAGATTGATTCCCAAGTCTAACTTGTCAGGTTTATATCGAGTTAATCAATTCTGAAACAAAGAATATGAATATATAATATTGTTTTTGTATAATAAAAATAATAATAAACATAATTCAGACAAGCAATTGTCCAATTGAAGGAAGCATGGAAAATAGAATTAGCTAGTAAAAATTTTAATCATTTTATTGATATTCGAGTAGCAAAGAAACAAATTATATGCAGTTTTGGTGTGATAAAAATAATAATATACATAATACACTACTTTTAAAGTAAAATTTTTAATGTCTCTTCCAACAAGATTTTTAGTGAGGGAAAAGAGCAAGAAGAAAAATGAGGATTGTCTGAAAATGTGGTGATTTGTTTGAAAATATTGTAAATTGTTCCAAAATCTTGTGAATTATTTGAATTTATTGTTAATTTTCTGAAAACATGAATAGATTGTCTGGAAATGTTGTACATAGTTTGGAAATGTTGTACTAGTTTGAAAATATCACATTAAACTATTGTAGATTGTCTGAAAATATTGTTTGAAAGGCTGTAAATAATCTGAAAATATTGTAATTTGTCTGAAAATGTTCTATGTTGTTTGAAAACGTTGCAGACTCTATCTAAAAAAGTTGCACATTATCTGAAAATCTTATATTTTGCTTGAAAATGTTGTAAATTGTCCGGAAATGTTGTAAAGCATCTCAAAATTGTCTGCAAATGTATGATAATGTTGCAGATTCAATGAAAATGTTGCACATTATCTTGAAAATATTGTAGATAGTCTGAAAATGTTGCAAGTAGTTTGCAAATATTATGTTATCTGAAAATGTTGCATATTGGCCAAAAATATTCTAAGATGTGCCTGAAAATCTTGTCATTTCATTCAAAATATTGTCTAAAAATGTTCTATGTTGTCCGAAAATGTAGATTATTCTAAAAATGTTGTAAATGGTCTGAAAATATTGTTGTTTGTTTAAAAACGTTGCAGATTGTCTGCAACCATTGCAGATTCTTTGAACATTTTGTATGTTGTCTAAAAATGTTGCAGATAGTATGAATAGGTTGTACATTGTTTGTGAATGTAATAAGTAAATAAATTAATAGATTTCTGAAAATTTTGTTGATTCTCTGAGAATGTTGCATATGGTCTGAAATGTTGTTAGTTGTCTAAGAATGCTTTAAACGGTCTGAAAATGTAATAAATTATCTTAGGTTGGCCAAAAATGTTGTAAATGATCTGAAAATGTTGTGAAAATGGTCTGCAAATATTGTACATTATCTGAAAACGTTGTAAATGGTCTGAAACTATTACAGATTTACTGAACGACTTATACATTGTCTAAATATAGTGAGTAAATAAATTAATTGATTGTCTGAGAATATTGTAAAAGGTATGAAAATGTAGTCGTTTAAAATGTCTGAAAGTGCTACAGGTTGTCCAAAAATGCAGATCGTCTAAGATTGGTGTAAATGATCTGCAAATGTTGTAAATAGTCTGAAAATGTTGTAGAGGTCTGCAAATATTGTAAGTTGCCGAAATATATTATCTAAAAATCTTGTAGATTGTCATGAAATGTTGCATATTGTCCGAAAATTTTATATACTATCTGATAGATTGTAGATTGTTTGTCCTATAAAAAGAATACAAGTTCCCTGAAAATCAATTTCTATCCATGTTCTACTCCTTGATTTTATCATTTCAACATCACGATGTTATACTTTATCTGTGCTTGGATTAATTTTTTTAATATATTTTTAGGTTGATTGTATTGTTGCGACAGCTGGAGGTGTAGAAGAAGATTTTATAAAATGCTTAGCAGATACTTATCTAGGCGACTTTAGTTTAAAAGGATCAGAGTTACGTGATCATGGAATTAATAGGATTGGAAATCTATTAGTCCCTAATGATAATTATTGTAAATTTGAAGATTGGGTAAGAAATCTTTATATATATATATATATATATATATATATAAATTATAATTAAATATAAATAAAAAATTAAATATAAATATAAAAAAGTCCTACTACGTCTCAGATATAAAATAGATAAATTGTAATGATGTTCAAATAGTTATTAAAATATTAATATTTATTCTAGAATGCTGCAAATTTACTATAGTATTGTTAAATATATGTACTTTAACAGCAAATACTAACATTGATATGCTTTCTCACAAATATTTGCAATATGTAGTACTTTCATAAAATAAATTCATCAATTTATTTGAGAAAAGTACCAAGACTTTTTGACACTGAATAAATTGTTAAATATATCATTCTAGAATGTTCCAAATTTATTATATAGTATTACGATGATATTTAATACTGAAATCAATGTTCTCTCACATACATTTAAGAGATTTATATATGCATGACATATAGTTATTATAAAAATTTCTATTCTAATTTGTGTAAATTATATTTTATTCTATTTTTATAGGTGATGCCATTACTAGATGAAATGTTAGAAGAACAAAAAACCAAAAATACTTTATGGACACCTTCAAAAGTTATTCAAAGACTTGGAGAACGAATTGGTAAATACCAAATTTAAATTTAAATTCTCATAAAGTTATAACATCTTTATTTGGTTAACAAATTGGTAAACACCAAATTTAAAATTAAATTCTGATAAAGTTATAATCTTTATTTGGAGAATTAATTGGTAAACACCAAATTTAAATTTCAATTCCAATAAAGTTGTAACATCTTTATTTGGAGAATGAATTGGTAAACATCAAATTTAAATTATAATTCTAATAAAGATATAATATCTTTATTTGGAGAATGAATTGGTAAACACCAAATTAAATTTAAATTCTAATAAAGATATAATATCTTTATTTGGAGAATGAATTGGTAAACACCAAATTTATATTTAAATTTGAATAAAGTTATAATATCTTTATTTGGATAACAGTTGATAAAAATCAAATTTAAATTCAAATTCTAATGAAGTTATAATATCTTTATTTGGAGAATGAATTGGTAAACACCAAATTAAATTTAAACTCTAATAAAGTTATAAAATCTTTATTTGGAGAATTAATTGGTAAACACCAAATTTAAATTTCAATTCCAATAAAGTTGTAACATCTTTATTTGGAGAATGAATTGGTAAACATCAAATTTAAATTATAATTCTAATAAAGATATAATATCTTTATTTGGAGAATGAATTGGTAAACACCAAATTAAATTTAAATTCTAATAAAGATATAATATCTTTATTTGGAGAATGAATTGGTAAACACCAAATTTATATTTAAATTTGAATAAAGTTATAATATCTTTATTTGGATAACAAGTTGATAAAAATCAAATTTAAATTCAAATTCTAATGAAGTTATAACATCTTTATTTGGAGAATGAATTGGTAAACACCAAATTAAATTTAAACTCTAATAAAGTTATAAAATCTTTATTTGGAGAATTAATTGGTAAACACCAAATTTAAGTTAAAATTCTAATAAAGTTATAATATCTTTATTTGGATAACAAATTGATAAAAAACAAATTTTAATTCAAATTCTAATAAAGTTATTATATCTCTATTTGGAGAACGAATTGGTAAACACCAAATTTATATTCAAATTCTAATAAAGTTATAATATCTCTATTTGGAGAATGAGTTGGTGAACACCAAATTTAAATTTAAATTCTAATAAAGTTATAATATCTCTATTTGGAGAACGAATTGGTCAATACCAAATTTAAATTTCAATTCTAATAAAGTTATATCTTTATCAGTTATAATTTAAAGATTTTAAATGTATTATATATTCAAAATATATTATTATTATATATATTTTTCGGTAGATAGTGAAGAAAGTATATACTATTGGGCATCCAAAAACAAAATTCCAGTATTCAGTCCTGCCCTTACCGATGGCAGCTTGGGTGATATGATGTACTTTCATTCTTATAGAAATCCTGGTTTAGTTGTTGATATTGTATCAGGTAAATAAATAATTATAAATATATAAATAATAACAAAAGATAATATATTGTGAGAAACAAATAGCGACATATAGAGATGAATATTGTAGAGAGTGTAATTAGAGACAATAAAGAAGTAATTAGAGATGAGGTGTATTAATAGAGATCAACAAAGTTAACAGTAATTAGAGATGAGGCGTTTAAAATTGTTATATTTTGTCTAAAAATGTTCTAGATTCTCTGACAATGACTTAGTTTGTCTGAAAATGCTGCACAGTGTCTGAAAATGTTGCAAAATGTATGATAATGTTGCAGATTGACTGAAAATGTTGCACATTGTCTAGAAAATATTGTAGATTGTCTGAAAATGTTGTAAATTGTCTAAAAATGTTTTAGATTGTTTGAATGTAGTATAAATTATCTGAAGATGTAGTGGATTGTCTGAAAATGTTAATTAATGTCAGAAAATTTAGTCATTTATTTATTTATTACAGATTTAAGACGACTGAACACGATATCAGTGAAGGCCAAGAATACAGGAATGGTTATAGTCGGTGGTGGTTTGATAAAGCATCATATTTGCAATGCAAATCTAATGGTAAATATATTATCAAATTCAACTTTTTATACAATTAGCTTGTTGTATCTTTTATAGTATAGTAATAGAAGATTTATATATCTATAAAATTATATTTGTTTGTTTGGAATTTGGAATTATATAACAAGAAACTTCTTGAAACAATTTATGTAGAGGTACAGTTATATTATTTATATTCATATACATTTAAATTTGTTCTAATTGAAACAAGTTTGTCCAGAGGATAAATAATGAAAATATTATCAGCTAGTAAATCCAGAATATTGGTTTTAATAACTTTGTTAATATTTACATTAAGTAGCAACGAAACAAATTGAATAAAGCTTTAATTTAACTATTATTGTGAGAAAATTAACATTAAAATATCAATTATAAAAAGATTGCTGCAACAATAGAATTTTTCATTGTTTAATTTATTTCTATGCTTTGTAGTAATTAAAATGAGAAGACTTAATATATTTTATATTTTTAGCGAAATGGTGCAGACTTTTCAGTATTTTTAAATACTGCATCTGAATTTGATGGAAGCGATAGTGGAGCTAGACCCGATGAGGCTGTTTCGTGGGGCAAGATCAAGAAAACTGCAACACCAGTCAAAGTAAGAGCAATATATATATTATATATATATATATATATATATATAATATATATATATATATATTATATAATTAATATGTTTTAAGTATATATTATCTTTTTTAGATTTATGCAGAAGCAAGTTTAATCTTTCCGATCCTGGTAGGAGAAACATTTGCAAAGTATCACCATAAAAAGAATCAGCAAAAGGCTTTAGAAAATGTTTCTCTTTTATTGTAAATTATTAAAATATAATATATGTATATAAATATGTAAATGATATGATGTATATTTTTGGGAATTAAATTAAATTCAAATATGAAAATGTATTTGTTTTTTTTTATAAAGGAACAATGTATGTAATTCATGACTGATTTATAAGCTTTAGAGTTTATTAAGATTTATATGACCAAGTTGCTGTAGAGTTCTTAATGTGAGAAACTACTGAAGATGTTTTATTTTTGTACAATTTTTTCCAACGTACTATTTATTTTAGACAAATAGTTTTAAATGTTGTAATTATAATAGTTAAACACTAAAAAAAGCATAAGTGCTTCCCATGTCATCCGAACCTAACACAATGTTTTCTAATATATTTTTACTTAGGCTTGGTTGTACATGGTAAGCGTTACTTGAATTTTTTGTGGTATAAATGTTTTTATTATTAAAATTCTAAACAAAAAAAATTAAAATATGAATATTAAAAATAATCTATTAAAAATATTTTTGATCTATACCAGTTAACAATTTAATCAAATTTGTATTATTTTTATTATAGTATTATTTTATTAAGCCACATGAGTTGTACTTATATCAAGAACATCTCTTTTAGTTTAAAAAAGCCTCTTAGAGTTAAAAATTAGTAAATAACAATAACAATGATAATATTTTTTTAGTGAAAATATATTTAATTAATTTAATTGTTATGAACAAAACAAAGTCTTCATGGTGTGCATAAGAACATGATCCATTATACTATAAACTTTCAATTTTACACACTTTTCCCAAATTCGGTGTCAAACTATTCAGAATGACTTGGAAAAACTAAATTAGCAGATCGGATTTTCTGGCAATAAAGAAAGAAAATGTAAAAAAAATTCAAATTGGCGAGAAAACGGTCAATTTTACACATTTTTCCTAAATTCGGTGTCAAGCGATTCAGAATAACTTGGAATTGCAAAAAATTAGCAGGTCGGATTTTCTGGCACAAAAGAAAAAAAAAGTAGAAAAAATTGAAATCGATGGGAAAACAGACAATTTTACAAACTTTTCCCAAATTGGGTGTCAAACAATTCAGAATGACTTGGAAATGCATAAAATTAGCAGATCGGATTTTCTGGCAATAAAAGAAAAAAAGTAGAAAACAAAGCAAATCGGTGAGAAAATAATCAATTTTACACCTTTTTCCCAAATTGGGTTTCAAACGATTCAGAATGACTTGAAAATGCATAAAATTAGCAGATCGGATTTTCTGGCAATAAAGGAAAAAAAGTAAAAAAAAGAATAAAAATTCAAATCGGTGAGAAAACAGTCAGTTTTACACACTTTTCCTAAATTCGGTGGCAAACGATTCAGAATAACTTAGAAAAACTAAATTAGCTAAACTAAATTAAACTCCAAAAACAAATTGAAATCGGTAAGTGAACAGTCATTTTTGCATACTTTTCCCAAATTCGGTGCCAAACGATTCAGAATGACTTGGTAATAAAATAATAATAATAGTTAAAAATAAAATAAATTGGATACATAAAATTAGCAAAACGGATTTTCTGGTGAAAACATGAATTTTTTGGAAACTTAATTAGAATAATTTTTAGCAAAAGTTAAATTAGATTAAATATTATTAATTATAACGATTAATATAAAAGCACAAAATCTAATTTATCATTTTATTCTTTTCCTTGTTTAATCTTCCTGAAGTGGGAAATTCATTATTTCTTAGCACGCTATCATATACAAATACATATATACATACATACATACATGTATACATATTCACATACATACATTTATAAATACACCCATATATACATCTAAAAATACAAATATACATATACGGACATACATATATACATACAAATCCAAACATACATATACATATACATAAACACACACACATAAATACATTTACAAATGCAAATACACATATATACATATACATAAATGCCATTTACAAATAGAAATACGCATATATACATATACATATACATACATACATATATACATATACAGCCATACATACATACATATATATACATATATAAATGCAAAATACATGTATACATATACATACATACAAATCTAAATATACATATATACATAAACACACATAAATACATTCACAAATGCAAATATACATATAAATGCCATTATACAAATACAAATACGCATATATACGTATACATACATACATACATACATACATATATACATATATACAGCCATACATACATACATACTACATACATACTACATACATACACATACAAATACAAATATACATATACAGACATACATATATACATATGTACATAAACATACATACATACATACGTATATTCATATACAAAAGCAAATATATACATATATACATATTCATATATATACATACATACATACATACATATACATATATACATATACATATGTCGTAGCAAAGTATTTTTTGCTACGAAGCGTAGCCATAACGTTTGACGAATATATACGACTTCGGACGTAAAAACACGATCGAATATACATATATTACAAAGGGGTGAACAACCCGCAAACAAATTTGTTTAATACATCATTCATACTAATCGAATGGTTTAACAGTTATAATAAATAATCGACAATGTAATTGTAATGAATAATATATTCGATTTTCAATAACGATTTTAGAGTATACCGAGTGGCTCTAGAGCAATATAATGTTAGACAATATTATAGATTATTTAATTTTGGACAAATTTTTCTTAGACACCATTCATACTTATCGAATGGTTTAAGAGATATAATAAATAATCTACAGGTAATGACTAAAATATTGTAGGGTATTCGATTTTTTATTTACTATTTTAGAGTATACCGAGTGACTCTAGAGCATTATAATGTTAGACAATATTTTAGATAATTTAATTTTGTGCAAATTTTTCTTAAACACCATTCATACTAATCGAATGGTTTAACAGATATAATAAATAATCTACAAGTAATAATTAAAATATTGCAGGGTATTCGATTTTCATTTACGATTTTAGAGTACACCGAGTGGCCCTAGGGCAATATAATGTTAGACAACATTATATATAATTTAATTTGGAAAAATATTTCTTAAACACCATTCATATTAATCGAATGGTTTAACTATTGGTTTAACTATGGTTTAACTATAAATATGATGAACAATCTACTGGTAATGACTAAAATGACGTAGGGTATTCGATTTTCATTTACGATGTTAGAGTATACCGAGTGGCTCTAGGGCATTATAATGTTAGACAATATTATAGATAATTTAATTTTGCATAAATTTTTTTTAGACATCATTCATACTAATCGAATGGCCTAACAGATATTTTAGTCACAGGTAATGACTAAAATATCGTAGGGTATTCGATTTTCATTCACGATTTTAGAGTACACCGAGTGGCCCTAGAGCATTATAATGTTAGACAATATTATAGATAATTTAATTTTGTACAAATTTTTCTTAGACATCATTCATACTAATCGAATGGTTTAACAGATATAATGAATAATCTACAGGTAATGACTAAAATGATGTAGGGTATTCGATTTTCATTTACGATTTTAGAGTATACCGAGTGGCTCTAGAGCAATATAATGTTAGACGATATTATAGATTATTTAATTTTGTACAAATTCTTCTTAAACATCATTCATACTAAACGAATGGTTTAACAGATATAATGAATAATCTACAGGTAATGACTAAAATATCATAGAGTATTCGATTTTCATTTACGATTTTAGAGTATACCGAGTGGCCCTAGGGCAATATAATGTTAGACAATATTTAAAATTATTTAATTTTGTACAATTTTTTCTGAAACACCATCCATATTAATCGAATGGTTTAAAAATTACAAGAGATAACAAATAAATGAGTATACTACACTACTGAATTGTTAATACAAAATATTGATTTTAGAGTAAACTAAGTGGATTTAGAGTATTCTATTATTAGACAATATTGTAGATTATTTAATTATAAACAAATTTCCTTAATGCATCATTCATATAAATCGAATGGTTTTAGATTTATAAGCAATATTATAAGAAAATGCACTGTGAAACGATTTGAATAAGACAATATTCATGTTCTGTTGCGATTTAAAAGTATACCGAGTTGCTGTAGAGTGATGTTAGAAAAAGTTGCAGATTATTTAATTTTAAACAAATTTCTCTATACATCATTCATATTAATCGAATGGTTTCAAAGTTACAAGAGTTGCAATAAATGAATCCATAAGCAATTGTAATCAGGCATAAATAGATATTTCATGTTTGAAGGCATTTTTAGGGTATACCAAGTTGCTCTATGGACTTATATTGTTAGAAAAAGTTGTAGTTTATTTAATTTTAAATAAATTTATAAATTTATATTATAATAATTATTTAAATAATTTATTATAATAAATCTTATACATCATTTATACTTATCGAATGGTTTATAAGTTACAAGAGTTATAATAAATAAATGCACGAACAATTGACACCATAACTAATCAGGCTCAAATAGATAGTTCATGTTCGAAGGCATTTTTAGGGTATACCCAATTGCTCTAGAGACTTATATTGTTAAAATAAGTTGTATATTGTTTAATTTTAAACAATATGTCTCTAATACACCATTCATATTAATCGAATGGTTTAGAAGTTACAAGAGTTGTAATAAATAAATGCATGAACAATTTACACCATAACAAATCAGGATAAATTGATATTGCAAATTTGAATGCATTTTTAAGGTACACCGAGTTGCTTTAGGGCATCATATTGTTAGATAAAGTTGTAGATAATGCAATTTTAAACCAATTTCTTTAATACATCATTCATATTAATCGAATGGTTCAAAAGTTACAAAAGATGTAATAAGCAAATGCATTAACGTTCAAATCGGTGCTCTGTAGCTAGTACAACGACCTTTTAATAAACAAATAAATAAAAAAATATATAAACATACATATGTGATTTTTCTATTTCTATTATAGATTTTACTACCCCTGAAACCCGAATTATTTGCCGAATTTAACCGAAGTCAATACGTTTCGGACATGCGCAATCGTGTCCGGCATCAGTGAAATTTGTATAAAACATCAAAGACATATTACATTCAGGAAATTGCTTCGAAACAAATCAAATTTGGTTCTAAAAATATTAAAAAATATCTGTAAATTAATATTTAATATATTGATAATATATTTAGTGATTAAAATTACAAAATAAAACATTTTGTGTGTAAATTTAATGTGTTTGTGTTAAAAAAGTGTTTCAAGGTTTATAAATTGTTTATAAACAAGTTGTAGGGTTGATATTTAAAATTTTAGTTATATTATAAAAATATTTAATATATATAATATAATAAGGTAATATATATAATATAATAAGATAAAATTTAGATAAATGATTAAACAATTGTTCGAAAGAATATTGAATAGTTTTTATTATCATTTCTTTAGTATAAAAAGTATAAATTAGTAAATTTTATTTAATATTGCAGTTAAATTTTTTATTGAAATTATTATATATATTATAAAATATATTAGCTTTTAGACATATGCAACAAAATTTAGAATTATTCATTTATTTTATAATATTTTTTTCAAATTTTTTTTTATCTCAAAATTTTAAAAATATTATATATTAAATTACTAGTATTTTTTTTTATTTGTATTTATAGGAAACAATGAACTAATAAAAATTGATAAATAAATAAACCAAAAATAATTTTTTTTGGTCAATAGTGTTATTATTATTTTTTTTTATTTTGAAAAAAAGACTATTAAGAAAAATATATAAATAATTTTTAATATTTGAAAACAAATTTATATTTAAATACAAATATAAACAATTGACATCAAAGAGACTTTTGTAGCCTTTTGAAGGCTAAATAAAATATTTTTTTATATTATTATTATTAATATTAAATTACAACAAAGTGAACACTTAATCATAATTTGTTTAAATAATGTGAACTATCAAGAATAAGATTTTAAAAATGTGTTTTATTTAAAAAATAATAATGTCAAGTCGTAAAAAAATGTGTAAATTTCCATTATCTAATTTGTTTATATTATTTTTAATAATAAATAGTTGTAAAAGTGATGGAACACAACATACTTAATATACCAGGTCAGTAGTAATTAAAATCGGTGCATTTATGTATTATATCTCTTGTAACTTTTGAACCATTCGATTAATATGAATGATGTAAAAGGGAAATTTGTTCAAAATTAAATAATCTACAACTCTTTCTAACACTATAAGTCTCTAGAGCAACTCGGTGTATCCTCAAAATGCATTTAAAAATGTAATATCAATTTATCAAGGATTAGTTATGGTGATTAGTGCATTTACTTATTACAACTCTTGTAACTTTCGAACCATTCGATTAATATGAATGATGTAAAAGGGAAATTTGTTCAAAATTAAATAATATTGTTTAGACTTTAAACTTTTTCCTAACAACAAAGGATCCTAGAGCAACTCGGTATACTCTAAAATCGTGCTTGAATATCAAAATTTAATCTTAAAGTACCCAAAATTGAGATTATTAAGAATAGTTCAAGGAGTGATCATAGAAAGAGGATTGTATTGGCAAATTAGAACTAATTTTTGGTTTTAAAATTATAGAATATGTATGTATATATATATATATATTTTGACACTTTTTTGTGACACTTGCGTTGTAACTTCGATCAGTGTCCATAATGCACCGCTATTAATGACATAAAATATAGGAGGGCAATATGTGCTTTTTCATTTTCTCGTTTGTTAATAATATAATAGTATATTATTATTTTACACAAATTTAGTATTCAATCAATTTTACATCATAATTATTTTTTCCTGTTGTTTTTCCTGGTTTGATTACTGAATGATGACACACATCAAGTGTCGAAACGTTTAATGAAATAAATAATTTTGTTATTTGATCTTTTTTTTAATTCGACGATTGGGCTGCAAAAATGTTTATACAATATTATACATCTGTTTATATATAACATTTTATATTCTTATTTATGCATTTATTCTAGAGACACATGTGTTTCTACAAAATCCAAAAATATGTATATTATTTCTTATATTCCGATTATATATATATATATATATATATATATATATATATATATATATATATTGGAAATAATTGAAATCAAAGTCTGTGATTGCCTTCAATAACCCTAAAGGCATTCCCAAGTCAAACAATTCGCAATTATAACTTTTACGGTCCGAAGGACATTATTCAAATTATAATGTATATAATACAGTATATATATATATATATATATATATATATATATATATATATATATAATATATATAAGCAATATTTCAAGAGAAGAAATTCTACTAACCAGAAAACTGATGTTTTCTAAAGTCCAAAGATAAAACCCTAAGAAACTGATAAAATTCAAAATATTTGAGGAAGGAGAAAAGGAATTATACAACGTGCAAACTAATTTCCAGAAAAAAGTGAGACTATCTGTTTCATAATGTTTTCGAGAACCAAAAACACGACCCCAAGATGGAAATTCTACTAACGAGCAAACTGACTCACTATCTCTAAAAGAAACTTTTCCTATCTGACTGAGAACGTTTTCTAAGACCCAAAAACAGAAACTTTACTGAAAAACAAACTGAATCTTGATATGAAATACAAAAAAAGAAAAGATATTAATTATTCCTACAAAAAGTTTATCCATTAATTATTATGAGCCTAAAAATAGGAAGGTATCCTTGCCAGTTGTATCCTTTTCTGTTTGTATTTTCCATCTCGAGAAATGTATCCTTTGAAATTCTAATTGCACCTTTTAAAGTTATCGAGAGGTAACTTCTTTTGCATAATTTAGGAACGGGAATATAGATGAAAATATTATTCGTGGATATATATATATATATATATATATATACAGGGCCGGTCCTAGGGTAGTCAGCGCCCGCATGCAAGATTGATTTTGGCGCCCCCTATTATTTGGAAACAGTTTTATTATTTGAGTTATAAATAAAATTCTATTATATTTTTAAATATTTTTTAATTAATCTGGTTTTATTACACAAAAAATTGGATATAATAGTTTTAATATCTAATTCTGCACATATATTATTTTCAATACTAATTAACGCCAAACTGTTCAGCCTATCTTGTGAAATATTAGTTCTTAAATAGGTTTTAATCAATTTCAATCTCGAAAAACTGCGTTCACCACTTGCTACACAAACAGGTAAAGTTAAGAGTATTCTTAAGGCGATTGAAAAGTTCGGGAAAGCTAAGTTGTTGGATACTATATAATTAAGAATATCAAATGGTTTTCGAAGATTTAAATCGTTTTTCTGAAAAATATCACGAAAAGCACACAAACTCATCAAATAACTCTATTGAATTTATATCTTTACTGTCGCCATCCTTTAGAGTAATTTCTAAATCGTTACAATGTTTTCTTAAAGCTTCTTTATTAATTTCCGGTAATTTATTTAAAAAATCGAAATTTTCAAAATATGTTCTTAATTTTTCAAAGCGATCATTTGTGGAACACATTGCAACATCTAAAAGCGTATAAAACACACTAATTTAAATTTTTCTTGTGGAGATCGTGGACATTCGTCGTGTTGCTCGTAATCAAATTGTCGTTTCTTCTTTCGTTGTCGCACTTCCGAACTACTTTTAAATTCTTGTTCTCCATCCACCTCTTCGCTCAGTTCTTTTGCAGTTTTTAGAACATCCTCAAATTTTAATTCTGACCGATAATCTTGCATAAATATTTTTAAATTTTCAATAGATTCTAAGGCCTGTGAAATATTTATATTTGGATCTTGAAGCATTTTACTCACAGGGTTTATTCTATTGAGCAAGTCATGCCAAATTATGAGAGAGCAAATAAATTTGTAATCCTTTATTTTAAACATAATACTTGTGCTTCATGTTGAATTTCTTTATTAAAATTTTCATTATTTACAATATCAAAAAGCGCATCATAAACTTCTCCTAACTGATAACGTAAGGGCCGAATTGCATTAATCCTACTTTCCCATCGTGTATCTGAAGGTTGCTTTAAAGTTAAATTTGTAACGTATCTTAAAAGTATTGCCCAACGATTAGAAGAAGATGAAAAGAAATTATATAATTCTTGAATTATATTAAAAAAACTAATTGTATCAGTATTTACTTTAGCTGCATCGTTAATCATTAAATTTAGAGTGTGCGCTGCACAAGGTACGAAAAAAGCTCTAGGACTTTTAGTTAAAAGTAATTTTTGCAGCCCATTATTTTTCCCTTTCATATTTGCTCCATTGTCATAACCCTGACCACGCATGTCTTCAATGGGAATGTTCCATTTTTTCAAATTATCTATTATTGTAGAACATAAACCACGCCCTGTGGAATCGGTTTATATCAACAAAGCCCAAAAATTTTCCCTTATTTTTACAACTTCATTCTCAAAAGAAACAAATCGAACAATAATTGTCATCTGTTCTGTTTTACTTGCATCAGGTGTACAATCTAATATTATTGAATAATATTTAGATTTTCGTAGCGAGAGTAAAATTTTATCCCTTATCGCTTTACTTAAAATTTCTAACAGTTCATTTTGGCTTTTCTTACTCAAATAGTGAACTTTATTGTTCGGTTGAAGAGCTCTATGAATATGATTTTCTATAACTGGATCAAATTTTGCAAACAGCTCAATTAATTTTAAGAAATTGCCGTTGTTGCTCTCATATAATTTATCAGATGATCCTCGAAAGGCTATATTTTGGCTAGCAAGAAATTTTATTATTTCTATAATGCGTTCTAAAGCACTCCTCCAATGCCTCTTTTCCATCTCATATAAGCTTTGAGTCTGATACTCAATCGTGGTTTTGTTTTTTAAGCTCTTATCTAAGTCTTTCCATTGTAAAAAAATTCTCATATGAGTTAGGTTAGTCTCATGTCTATGCAAACTTGTACTAAGATTTCTCCAATCGCTATAACCATCTAAAAAACTATTAGTTTTGTTAGATGCAAAGAGTTTACAACAGAAACAAAAAACCCGATCCAATTTTTCAGAATAAATAAGCCATGTTCTAGGCACCAACTCCCCGTTTTCCATTTTTCTATTATAATATGAATAATTAAATTTGCGACCGTGAGTATCCTTGGGATAAATAATATTTTTCTTTTGAATAGGACCCATTTCAACTAATTCAACTCGCAGTTTTCTGTCAATAATGCCCCATTCAGCGGGGTCTTCTAAATTTTTAATTATTACCGTTTCCTCAGTTTCGTCTGCAACTACATTTAAATCTAACCGCTGCGATTCACTTGAATCATGTTGTGGTATAGAACAATCGTTAGAAACAATCATGTTGTGGTATAGAACAACGTTAGTTGAAGAACACGGTTCGATAACACTTATTTCTTCTAAATCAACTTCACTACAACTGTGTCAGACTTTTATTTTTTAATAAAGTTGCTAAGAGTTCCTGCTTGTTTTTGAATATCTGCTTCTTTTACAGCTTTTCGCTTGCGGAATTGAGCACCAGATAATTTCTTTTTTGATTCCATGCTTACTTTTAACGCAAAAAAACTTAAATATTAAAACTTATCACTCAAAATATTTAATAGAATAACGATTCACTAATTCACTAAAAATAACAATTCACTAATTTGCGCAGTTATTAGAACGCTTAATGCCTTATCCTTAGCAATACTCTCGCCAAATAAACGTATACTACTGTTTCATATTTGGAACTTTCTTATATAATTATCAAGATGACCATTATTTAGAATTAGGAACAATGTTATCTTCATACAACGTAAAGCATTGTTGTCTTTTGATCGATTCAGCCAAGCTCCTGCACGTGTGACATCGATAATCAAGCAATAACATATTAATATAAACAGTGCTTATTGTACAAACTATGGTCTTATTTGTGAGCTTGTATAATGCGTTGTTTTAATAATATAAAAGTATGTTTGAAATTTTCAAATTAAAATAATGTGAGTGATTTATAAATTGATGCCAAATTATTATATAATATTACAAAATATTATTTTTTTATACTATGTTAATTTAGGTTATTTATTATAATTCATTTAACTTATTAAGTATTCTACAAAATCTATATTTCAATATAAATAAACATTAAATCCAAAGCTCGAAATTGCGCCCCCCTAAGGCTTGCGCCCGCATTTCTTGCATGCATTGCATGCAAGGTAGGACCGGCCTGTATATAATATATATATATATATATATATATATATATATATATATATATAATACATAAAGGTGCATAACATCAATAATAAGAATAAGATAAAAATGATTTTCTTCACAAATTTATTCTAAGTTGGACTAATTGGCAAAAGTCCTAACCTTCAGTCAGAGAAACAAAAGAAACTTGATAAAATATATTAAAATAATAGTATCTAAGCATTGAAAAAATTCTTAATGTATTTAACTACTATTATTTTTTCCAGAACAAAAACTTCTTTCAATATCGAACGTCATAGGAATCTGGTTGATCAAATCAATTGCTCAGATTGTGTTTCAATATACATTGGCGATATAATAATAAATGGTAGTCTGCCTAAAGGCAGGTCCCTTAAAAATGATTCCCTTACCCTCCGTCATCTATCATTCCCATTACCACTACTCCCTCCCTTTTTTCATGTATTTTCCTTTCCAAGCTTCCATGCTTCCTGATCCTGCGCTTCGACTTTCAGTTCCCTGTATTTTTTCTTCTCGCGTAAGTCATCAATCATCTGCATTCTTCTTCTTCCCATTCCTTTCAACCTTCTATTTTACCCTCGACGGTCGTGCAGGAGACACTTTTTTGCAGTACGGGCCCAATCCAGATTCCTTTTCTTTTCAGGATTGTGCTCAGTAGAGTCCTTTCTTTGTCTACTCTTTTCAGCACTGCTTTATTTGTTATTTTGTCTGGTGATATATATGAATATTTATATATTTTTTTCAGAATCCATAGGCTGTCCAGCTCCTGATATAAAAATCGGCAGGGGCATCATTGCGCCCCCTCAGCATGCAACTGACAACGAGGGAGCCCCGTTTGATTCTTTGGCTGATGACATATTTGATGGACCAGGTAAAAAAAAACCTAGGTGTAAGTGGAGTTTTGCCTTAAGATTGTTAGTACATTAGAGTAACTTTTCTGATACGTGTAAACAATCTACTGAAGTTTGCATATGGTTTTACCAAATTTGGTCTAAAAGCACTAGGAATGACTTTAAATCTCCGGAAAATTACAAAATCTAATATTTAGATTCTTGCCAAAAATGCTTTTTAAGTCTCATTTATAACATTTATATCATTTTCAATTTTTTAAATGTAACAATATTATACTTTTTGCACAAAGTTCTGTTATTTTATGTGTCGTTGCCTCTTTGCCTATAGATAGTCATTGCAGAATAGTTGGCAGAAGAAATGTTGTATCAAAGAAAGCAAATGTTATATCTAAGAAACTAAAGGTTATGTAGTAAAAGTGTTGGAGACAATTTTGTGCAGAATTTTATTAGCTAAAAATTTCATTTTCTACAATTTTTTTCCAAATTTGTTAGTTTAGAAGATATTTGAAAAAAAAACTAGAAAAATTTTCCCAAAATTCTTTCTAATGTTTAGTTACTAAATCCCTTATTTCTTTATTATTTATAAATAATAATTATATATATTTATAAATATATATATATAGAGATATATATATATAATTTTTAATTCGTTTATTTGTTCATTTACTGATTTAAGTATTTATTTATTCATTTACTTATATATGTATTTATTTATATATTTATATATCTATTTATCTATATATTTCTTCCAGGTTTAACAAGTACCCCATCAGGAGCCCTTTTCGACCCCAGGGCCGAATCCTTCGCCCATGCCACAGAAGTAAGATTTCCTGGCCAAGTAGGGCCTCTGAGAGAAAGGAGACCTTGCAAAATTAAATGCATTGGCGGACAGTGGCTGGGGCCACTTTGTGCAACTACTGAAGGTAGAGGGAAATACATTTATTTGTTGAATTTCTTGTAACTTTTAAACAGTTCGATTAATATGAATGAAGGATAAGAAAAATTTGTACTAAATTAAATAATTAAACCTTTTACTAAATATATAGGCCCGAAATGCCTATTGTAATTGCCTTATTGAAATTTGTTTTTATGATTTTAAACGCTTGTAGATTCTGCACCTTTTGTTGCATTTGAATGATGTATTAGACAAACTTGTTTAAAATTAAATAGTTTTATTAATATTAAATTTTTATTTAAAAATATTCTACAACAACTCGGTATACTCAAAAATCGCATTTAAACATGAGCAATAAATCCTAACGTCAACAATTTATGCTACAATGTATTACTTTGATCCATCTTCCATATCTCTTAAACCATTCGATTAATATGAATGATGTATTAGAAAAAGA